TATTGAAGGCGTAATGTGGTCAATGAATTTTGCTTTAAGCACAGGTAATACTTAGGGCCTGATCACGTACTGTTCTACACATTGGAAAGATGTTTATACGTAAGTAAAGAAGATGAAAACTGCTACCAGGCAGTTTGCCCCTTGAGTAACCATAGATGCTTGCACCAGGGCAGATCAGGTGAGAATCAAGTAGCTGGAGTCTAGATTACAATTTCCACCAAAAATAATTTCCATTTTATTATAATTTTAAAGGGAGATCTATTTTGTGGGATAATGTACTTGAATAGTAATTTTGATGTAAAATAATGCAAGACTAACTACAGAGACAGCGTTTCATGCTGTTATTTAAACCCGCTATTTGCATTTATATTGCTTCATATGATGGAAAGTGTTTACATGGTATTTAAAAATTTGGGATTGATGAACTCCTAAACATACCTATGGGGTTTGAGCAAAATGCTTTCTCTTCTTCTTTTTGTGTAGTAGAGTGAAAGACTTAAGAGGAAAAAGAGATTTCATTGTAAAGTACTCCTTAAAATTTATGGAATATTAAACAGAGAACTAAATGAACCTGAAATAATTCAGACACTACCTAATAGTAAATCAAACTTTATGGTAGTTTCCCGACCCTAGTAAAGTGTCTCCAAACTGGCATTAAAGCTGAAGTTTTCCAAGAATCTTGATTGGAGAAAGGTATTCAATAGCAGCTCTTGGCTTGCATTTCTTTAAAAATATAGTACTTAACATCTAAATGAGCCAATATCTTGTGTAGAATTAAAAAGTAGATTCAAGACTTTCCAGGTGTAAAAAGGCCATTGAAGTTTCTTATCTACAACGTACAGTCCGAGTTGAGCCTATTGGAGACGTGGTGTTCTTCCAAGAGCAAGGACCAGAGTCTCTTTGTGAGCCTTATCTTAATTCTCCTCTTTCAGGCTTCAGCTAGGTGAGTTACAGTCATTTTTCTGTGATGACATTAGGCTGCTTGAGTCTTTGGATTTTTTTCTTTGTACTGTCACATGTAGAGTTCAGAAATGGTGACCCCTTCAAAGCGAATCTGTGTTTCTGTGTATAAAACATCTCACAGCATTTCATACTTCTCAGCCTCCAAATGGAGTTTTGTGAGATTCAATCACCTCATCCTGGCGCAGGAGCTGTAGTTGTTCAGAGGTGGGAGGGATGGGGTTTGATTAAAATTGATTCTGAAATAAGAGCATCAGTTTTGCATATTTGGATCCATGCTGATTCAGCAGGGACTTAATTAATGATTTGGTACTCAGCTGTTTCCATCTGCTTTGATGAGCTCACCGGGAAACACTCTGTGAAAACAACCAGCCCTGGCTTGTGTCAGGGAGGAGATGGGAGCACCGGCAGTGAAGACTGCAGCGGGGAAATGGGAATAAATGGCTTCAGGTGGAGCCATGGTCAGGCGAAAAGAAGACTACAAGAAGCATGGAACCCCAGGGAGACAAGGGAAATCTTAAGATTAAAGCAGGATGGTAAGGAATTAAGGGAAATGGGCCAAATACACAATATCATCTCTCCAATTTATAACAAGGTTCAAGAGCAAAGCCTGGTGTTAACAGTTTGGGGAGAATTTCTAGTGCACAGACAGTGACATTTCTGAGCCAGGTGACAAAATTCTATTCTAAAGCTCATAAGGAGTAAAACTAAAGTTTTACCAAAGACATTGGCCTTGTTCATCATGGGTAGCCATGACTGTAATCACTTCAGCTGCTTTTCTTAATCTATATCTGTACCTGGAGTAACAATTTCCCTGCAGCCACAAATCTGCACGCATCACAGAACCACAGAATCATGGAATCAATCATAGAATCACAATCTCAAGTTGGAAGGGACCCATAAGGATCATTGAGTCCAAGTCCCTGCAGCTCATGTTCACTCATGGAGGATTTTGCCTTACCTGTGTATTCAGGCAAACATGAGTCAACTTGCAGAGGATACCTTGCCATTGGTTTTCTGCTTTATTCATTGAGAGAGCTTGTGTACATTTGTCAAAGTAATTTAAATTATTGCTTGAATCATTCAGAACTCATGTTTATGTGCAAATACTTTTTAACATGTTGCATGCATTAAGTATTCATATTTCACAATATCACCTTAAGATTGTCACAGAGCATTAGCATATATTGCTCTAGCTTTGTTGAGAGTTTAGGTGGTTTATCCAAAACCTCTGAAGGAATCAATACAATTTGCAGGAATGGGTCTCAAGAATATCTGCAGACCAGAAGCCTGCTTTCAGTTTCTGCAGACCTATTCTTCTCTCCATCTGCTCCTTCCTTGCATTGACATGCAAGTCTGTTGCTCTACTAACAGAGAGATGCATTTTCAAATATATGTTTCCAAATATGTCTCATTTGATATTTTGAGAAAATGGCTGTTATCATACAACCTCATAGGACATAACGGGATGTTCAGACAAAGCATTTGCACAAACGTTGCAACTTTCTTGACCACCTTTCTGGTTTGATGTATAGATGCGGTGATGAGCAGTGAGAAGCAGCATCATCATTGGCAGATCAGAGGCAGAAGCTATGTTAGGGTGGCATGTAAGGTTGGCACAGAAGGTGAAGCAGGGTGTGCACTGTGATGAAATAAGTGGAATCAAATTAATACTTTCCTTGGGCAGGAGAAGTCTGAGCACATCGATGTACCCTCCAGAATACAAGCTTTCAGCAGACACCTCACTTACTCCAGGGCTCAGTGTAGAAAGACAAAGTACTTGTGGACAGACTAGTGTCTGTGTATACGTAGGTGGCAGGCAGAATCAGGGAAGATCAGGAAGCCCCGTGCTTGTGGACGGAAAGGGAGTAGAGACCTGCAAGGGGAAGGCAGTGCTGTCAGGGTGGAGCCCAGCAAAATAGTCTCTTCTGGGACATTTTTAGTAAACCGAAGGACGTTTCTCAAAGCCTGGGAGGAGATAGGAAAGGGGATGACATGTCACGCTGTGGGGGCCTGGATGAGAGATTTAGTTTCAAGCTTCATAAGGAAAATGCAGATTATGGAGATATTTTACACAATGCTGTTACAAATCCTGATCATAATTTGTACTCTTTGTGGGAAAAAAAAAAATGAACCCAAAAGCCAAAAACCAAAGAAACCCAGAGAAAACTGAATCAGTTTTTTCAGAGACCACCATAAGTAGTGATGATATCCATGGTTGTATTTTACAACTGTGTGTATTCCCTGGTTACAGATACCGCTCAACAGCATGAACTCATTTCTACAGACCTCAAGCTTGTATTTTTGTACCCAATGGGTTTCTGCCATGGGGAAAATAAATTCTTCTTAATCACCACTGAGCCTTCTCCACCCCGTTATTTTGGTTCATGTTGTTTGTTTTTATTTATAGGCACTCATCAGCATAATGTACTGTTGCCTACAACAGCAGGATTTGTTGGATACCTTAGGGTTTATTTTTTCTATTTGCCTGTATGTCATTCATAGCATTTTATATTCTTTCTCCATTTGCAAGAAGCTTGGCAAAGCATTACTGATATGCTATCATAATTGTTTTCACTGAGAAAAGATAAGCTGTGGCATCAATAATTGATGAAAGGAATATCCATTTTACAGATTTTTAACACTATTGAAAAAAGCTAAATGCATATGGACAGACACATAGCTACGCATACTCTCAGTGCATCACGCAAAGATTGCAAAGGAGGTGGCATCAGATGACTGTACAAACTTCATGACAATAGTCTGTTTTCTCAGTGACTTTTAAACAGATGCTTCTTGGACGAGATGTTCAACCACCGCACAGTTAACACAGCTAGATCGTGTGGCAAGTTAGAAAAATGTATTAATTGCAGGATGAATTGTGGATGAATAAATTGTACACCTAAAACTGGAAATTACCCTATATGCCATGATTCGCTATCTATTTCTTACATGGGGAACCGAGTTCACTTGAACAGTCACATATGCATCAACTGGCTGAAAATACCCGGTACAGAGCATTTATTTTACATTCAGATGTTATTTTCCTTTCCCAAAAGCAGGCAGGAAAATCGGAGCTGATGCCTGCATCAGCTGTCTTCTCTGCCTGGCCACCAGCATGCAGGGCGTGGGGCACAAGGGGATGTAGTGCCCCACCACTGAAGCTACCAAACACTAAGACAGCATCGTTTGGGACGCCTGTCAGTTCCACTCATGGGAACTGGAAGTTTTGCTGGATTGAAGGAGCTGTACCCAACTCTGTGCTGCTCCTCCTCTCTTGGTACTCAGGGGCACTAGAGAGTCTGGACCAGAATTTAAGGACTCTAAATGACAATAACCTTCCACTTAGTTACTGAAAATGGCATCGTGTTGCTCACCTGTGCTCAACACTGTGCTCACCGCCTCTTGGATATGGTGGTGGAAGGGAAGAGTGCCACCTGTTTCCTCAGTTCAGCAGCTTTCTTCCATGTCGAAGTTCATTGCTTTTTAAGATCACTTATCTGAGTGGAACAGCCCCACAGTTAAGCATTGCCATGATTGCAAAACCATGCAGATGACTTTGGAAGGAAAAGATTAAGAGAGAATTTGTAAATAAGATCAGTGATTCCAAAATGCAAAGAGTTCAGTAGGTCAGAAGTATTCTTGTGATTTTAGCAATCCTCACATGTAGGTAGCAGAGAGATAGTCCATCCCTTACCCCCTCCCCCCTTCCCCCCCAGCAACGTAGAGATTTCACTGAACTACACCATCCTTTAAAACGCAGCTGTTTTAGAGGGAGAGGAAAATGATTTGGTTTGCCAAATACGGTTTTGTACTGGATGTTGATAGTAAGATGATAACCCTGTTTGTAGAAGTATTTAAGTACTTGTCTAATTTTGAACAGTTGAGTATTGCCATTTTTTTCTAAGATTATGACATGCTTAAAATGAATACACGCTTTCTTAAAATATGTATGGGTTTGGAGCTTTAAATACACCCACATTCTGCTGGTAGATGTCAAGTCTTTTGAAACAACTTACACTTCTATTTTTGCCCCCTAGGTGGACACCCATGGAAACATTCTGCTAACATCGCTTGAAATTCACAATGAGGTGGCAAGCAATGAGGTCACCACCAGCGTTACGGACGCCAGAAATTCCACGATATCCTTTGACAACTCAGGAATCCAGTACAGAAAACAAAGCTCACATCGCGAAAGCTTTGGAAGGCGTTCGTCGGAAAGAACAGGCCCCCACAGCAAGAGAGGCCATTTACGAAGAAGGTCTTCACAACTGAAAATAAAAATCCCTGATCTAACAGATGTGAATGCCATCGACAGATGGTCAAGAATGGTGTTTCCATTCACATTTTCTCTTTTCAACTTAATTTACTGGCTATACTATGTTAACTGATTGACTGAACTTTTTTAAAGGACTTCAATTATAACAAGTGAAGTACTACTTGCCTGCAGAGTTTATATATATATTTATATATAAAAATACATATATATATGAACTTTTACTATGTAGACCATACTCATGTATGTGTGAATACATATAGCAAAGAATCGTGTGTATATAAAAGCACACGCTGCAAAGCAGAATTATATGTATGCACACACACATGTGCACATTCGTTCTGAGGTTATGGACACTTTAACATAGAATGCACTTCAGAGGAACTTTTTAAATCAAAAGGCAGGTGTCATCAAAACAACAAGCCTTGAGAAAGTAAGTGTTGTATATTATCACTACAAAACTTTGATTGTCATAGAAGTTTTCAAACAGCTGTAATTGTGTATAAAGTCGGTATTTAGTAACATCGTTTGTAAATGCTGCCATACACACTGATCATAAAGTGGTAGAGTTACACTGGTAAGTTTAAAATAAGTTATTTATATTGCAGATCCATCAAGCCAAATTTATTTTTCTTTGCTAAAATTTCTTGGGTTCATATATGTCATATATATGTCATAATTCCCAGCCCTGAATGGGCATGGTTTTTAATGATCTCTTGCTTTCTCTTCTGCAGTAAGCAAGCCGGTCATGGGAATGTTGTTCTAGCTCTTTGGAGACATATACATGTTCATAATATTTCAAACAAGCATTTTAAGTGTCCATCAACAGTGAAATGAATCTTTTGTAAGTACTGTAAATGTACAGCACATTTTCCTTCCCTTGGACTGGTTCCAGCTGCCATGTCATTTTGAAAAAGAACAGCACATTTTTAGTGTGATTTAGCTGAGAATTCAACTACTGTCAATGTGTTCTACATCTGCTGTAGATTTAAAGATTGTTATTCCAAGTGAAAGCATAGAAGATGTCTCAGGTTATTTGCTACTTCAACATGAAACCACCTAGCTGTAGCCTTTTTTAAACATGCATTCACGTTATTTAACATTCTTATAACATTGTATGTTAATGTAAAATATATTTGCATAATATGCATATAAGTATATTTTCTCAATATTTTTCTTCCCCGTGCTTGCTATCGTGACCGCATGCTATGTCATATTTTTGTTTCTGTGATGTTACAACTTTTTATTCTCTATAATTGAGGAAATAGAGCACTTCTGATACTTTGATTCAGTAAGGGAGCATTTTCATATTTTATTTATACGCTGAAAATATATACATGTACACTTACCAAGCTAGTGTGCTGCAGTCACAGATCACAGGAGATAGCAAACCGTATGTTTTGTTTCAGCATCAAGTATGTTCAAACATAACCTTCATGCAAATGTGACCGCTTTGGTTTTCATCCCAGCTCATTCCCTCACCCTCAATCCCTCACGGGATTCCAACTTTTTTCAGTCTAGTAGATTGTAGTCGTCAAGGTATGCCAATTTCAGATCTGTAAACTTAATTTGTTATTTATCAGAACTAAACCTTTCTAAAGAAAAGAAGATATATTTTTTGTAAACAGTGTTTCTATCATGTACATTCACAAATAGCAACAGATACAGTAGCATAAATAGATCTAAACAAAATACTTCAGGCGTGACCCCGCCAGTTCTCTGCATGTAGAATTCCTCTGGACGTCGATGGGAATTTTTAGCAGATAGATAGAGAGCTTTGGGTGCTAGTTAGAGACACCTATGGGAGAAAAATGTGTGGATATGCATCTATCAAAAACACCAAATGGGGATGAAACCGGAAAGGCTGCCTTGGCTCTGTAATGACCCGTGCTCTTGCTAGTACTTGATTTCTCCGTGAGTAGAGCAGTGATACTTGTGTTGCTGCCATTGCTGTGGTGTAACCCCTCAAACTGACTCTACCCCAGCCAAAACCAGCACAGCCGTGTACGGCCCGTTACTGTTCCCACCCCTGACTATCTGCAGCTGAACTGTGAAACTTTGCTCTGGGCTGAAATTCAGCATAGATGAACCTGGGTTGCAGGGTCTGTGTTGTAATCCCATCCCTTGGGGCTGCTCCTTGAACAGGAATGGGCTCCGCACAGTTGCCTCGCAGCAGAGCTGCAATGCGAGCCCCAGCTGGTAGCGTTCACCGTAACCCCGGCCGCCGGCACGTGCAGGAGCAGCACTGCAGTCCTGCTGCATCCTTGGCAGTGGTGCAAAGTGGCTGTAACTGCAGTTTTTAAGCACTGTATCTGCAGACAGCTCTACGGTATGAAGAGCCTCAAAGGAACCTGTATAGCTGGAGCAGAAAAACTTGGTTTTTAAAAACTCCTCAGTATTAGCTCCCACTGGCAAACCACAATGTATTATGAGCTCTCTAATATCTCTTCAAGCTGTGAAGGGATTATAGAGCACATTGTCATCATTATAATCAAAGTAACTGAACAATTAATACCCTCCCAAAGTACCTATTTGTAGAATTGTTGAAAAGCCCTCCCAAGTTTTTATCCTAATAACAAAATATAATTAAACAAAAAAATCTGATTTTGATAAAACTTAAAAATGGTAGGCTTTGCTTTAGAAAAATTACCCTAAGGAAATGACCTTCAAGCAAGTCTTTCAGTAAGTGCCCTAAAGAACTACCCTCAAAAATGGTATTCAAGAAGAGAGTGGTTCCACCCTCATGATTTCATCATGGTTGTCTCTTTTCTTCAAGCCCCAGCTCCTAGAAATTGTGTGGTCAGGCAGAGACCTTCAACAAGAAGAAGAGTCTTTTTAGTTGTGATAGAAATGTGTACTCCAAAACCCACCAAAATCGGTTCTCCAGTGGCTTCAGCCAGGATTTCCAAGCAGATGGCAAATTACTGTCTGGGCAGAGAAAAGGGCAATGTGCATTTTTGGGACCCTGCACAGGCAAGAGAACTGAGTCTCTGAGTACTCTTCCCTCTCTTACCCTTTGCGCAGCTGGAGGGCAGTGTGTTCCTGCAGCCCCTTTCATGAAACTGTACTCCCCACCTTGCCTCTCATCGCAAGAAGTGGGCAGTCGCGCCTTTCAACTTTTTCACACGATCTCATCTTCATCAGTGTAGTTGAGTTCCATGGAGCACAAGCAGCTTGAACCTTGAACAAATCCGAGTCTTGGTTTGACTTGAAAAAAGCCAGGAAATTCTCACTTGAGGTTAACAGTTCATCTTTAACACGCATTTTTTGTGCCTTTTTTTGCCAATTCCCTTCCTCCAGTCCCAGCGCCACTTCTTACACACAGACACACAGACACAGACACACACACAACCATGTGTTATGAACAGTGTTTGCCTTGACCTCCCATTTTCTGGCTCTTGTCCCTTTACGCTAGCTGCAGTGTATGATTTTAACCATAGATGGCTTTAAGACTAAAAATGGTAATTTCAACCAAATTGCACCAAAGTAGTGTATTTCATTAGCTAATGAACTCCTTTCTAACTCAACACTGCTATAAATAACATTTGCACATCCTTTGTTTGTAAAAGGCATGAAAAAAAAAGAAAACTGGGACTATCTTGTGTTCTAGCCCAAAGGGTCAATAAACAGTAGAAATATTATGGTGGTTTAACTCTAAGTTGATTTCATCCCATTGTAAAGATAAACTAAAATCCAGTCTTTTTTGCTTAAGGCATATCTATGTATTTTTGGTATTCTTCAGCAGTGAAAAAAAAAAAAAGAATAGTAAAATGGAATGATGAAGAGATGCTTTATGAAAATATTGATGAATGAATATTCATTTATTAAAAAGGATTTAAAGATGAATTGCTTACTTTTTTTTCCTGGGGGTGGAGGGATTATGACGACTGTGTTTGGCTGAATTTGAATGTTTACTTACATGTTAAATATCATGTAGTGGTTAGTCTTACACAATTCTAAAGAAAAAAAGAACACATGAAAGCATTTTCTTATCCACACATAAGTAGCAAAAGGGATCCTTAAGCATTAAACTACTACAGCTCCTAGTGTTTTCTATGGTAGATTAAGGAAGAGGGAAAAACTACATCCATTGATTTAGCAAGATTCTTAATGGCAAGCCAGCCTCTCTTAAGGCTGAGGCATTGCCTGTTAAGAGCAGAAAGTTTGTTCTCTGCTTTATATGAAAGCTCTACCTGCCCAGGAGGCAAAAGAGCTTTTGATATGAAAACAAGACAGCGGTGTTACTTGTTTCATTAATCAAGTCGTAAGTATTTCAAAACCAAACCAAAACCAAACTTTCTCCAGCTATGCTATTTGTATCAGGAATGCTAACTGTGTTCATTACACTCTTTATTGCTAAGTATTAGAAAGTTATTTTAGAGGAGTCAGGATATGGACACATTCCAAGTGGGCTTTTTAAAGTCATCTTGATGGTAGTTCACCAACCCCTTCCCCCAAAACAAAAAAAAATACCCTGAAGATTTGGAAAGCATACTGTCCTTAAACCCGGTTGCCTTCTTTGCACCGGAACAAGCTGTCACTCCCTTGCTTAAATCTCATAGCAGCTAATGATACATGTCACAACTTTTAGGAGTAGATAAAATATTCAGCACTGTAGATGTGATTGCAACGCCTTTCAAGTTAACAGAAACAGTCCCTCTCATTTCAGCCTGTTTCTGCTCACTTTTAGCCACACTTCCCAGATCGTAAGTAACATCTATTATGTATTTATTCCAGTCCAGCCCATATTGTGAGTAGGAAAAATTAATGATGTACCAAGCTTTGTTTTTGGGATTGGGAATATCTGGTAAGGGATGTATTTCTTTGTGTATTTTGGAGATGATGGATGGATTAACATTATAAACTATTTGATTAAGAACTTCTCATTATATTAAAGAAGTTCAGGTTCTAGTAGAAATGGTTGGCTGTTTTCCCCAAATAAATATGGTCCTATCAGTATCAAGACTATTTCCACAGATGTTGGTTTTATAGCCATGAGTGCCAAAACAGCAAATGCTACCTGCTAATAGAAGAAGTACGGCAGACAGCTGAAAAATAAACTAGAAGCGGTGGGAATTCCAAGGCTTCCCTGAACTGCTTTTGAACAAAGAATCT